TTTAAAGTAGTGACGACGGAGTTTTGCTTTCTTGGCCAGGCTGATCTCGAACTCCTGACCCCAGGTGATCCACCCACCTCGGCCTCCCACCTGCTGGGATTGCAGGTGTGAGGCACTGCTCCTGGCCAATACCTTCATACTTTTAAATTTATTGTATTGTTTTTCTAACTTTGAATTAGGGGCTTTATTCTCATTTTTCTAAATTAATATATGTTTTTACAGCTGTGAACTGTCTTAAGAGCATCACTTTAGGTTATGCCATAGATTCTGATATACAGTTGTCCTTTGTATTCATGGGGGATTAGTTCCAGGAGCCCTGCTCAGATACCAAAATGCATGGATGCTCAAATTCATTATATAAAATGGTATAGCATTTGCATATAATCCACACATATCCCACCATATATATTATTTCTAGATTACTTATAATACTTAATACAAAGTAAATGCTACATAAATATTTGTTATACTACATTATTTAGGGAATGACAAAAAAATATGTACAGACACAACCATCCTTTTTGTTTTCTATCAAATATTTTCGATCCTTGGTTGGTTGAATCCTCAGATGTGGAGCCCATGAATATGGAGGACTGTATAGTGTTTTCTAAGAAAAAAGTATGTAATTTTAATTTGTCTTTACCCCTCTGACCCAAGGTTGTTGATATAGTTTGGATATTTCTCCTTGCCAAATCTCATGTTGAAATCTGAGTGGCTCATGCCTGTAATGCCAGCACTTTGGGAGGTCGAGGCGGGCAGATCACTTGAGATCAGGAGTTTGAGACCAGGCTGGCCAACACTGCAAAACACCGTCTGTACTAAAACAAAAATAAAAAAGTTAGCAGGGCACAGTGGCACATGCCTCCAATCCCAGTTACTTGGAAGGCTGAAATAGGAGAATTGCTTGAACCCGGGAGGTGGACATTGCAGTGAGCTGAGATTGTACCATTGTACTCCAGCCTGGGGGACAGAGTGAGACTCCATCTCAAAAAAAAAAAAAAAATTTTTTTTTTTAAATAGAAGAAATAATACAAATCTGTTAATATTTATTATATATAAAGGAGAAAAATCCTTTGTTTACTTGTATAATTACTGAAAAGATACTTGACCAAATTCCCAACCCCTCCTTTAT